TTTCTTCTTGCGATTATCGAGAATTATGATAAAAATCAGAGATATTGATCGATGGAAAATGATCCTCGTTCAGATCGTTTCCGCCATCGACAGGTAGCTAGTGAAGTGGAGAGAAACACCTTGCATCCTCCCTGCGCGGGTGGACAAGTGGCAAGCAGGGGCGAGAAAGCATAGCCCCGTATTGCGATGAAAGCACGGGTGGGTGGCACTCGAAGGGGTCCGGAAAGCCTGGGGCGAAGTGCCGAGTGCCACTTTACTCGGCGACCACGTGTTAGTTCGTGTCGGATTTCGGATTCTCCCGGATTCTTTTCGAGAAAGCGTTCTTTTCCTCTCGGAAGACGTACGATTCCATCATATTTTTACTTCACCGGCGGATATCGAGACGTTTTATCTTCGCCTTGAATGCCGCCAATTTCGCTTATTCTTCGATATTCCAAAATAAAATGTCGTTTTTGTTAAAAGCGAAAGAAAATTCAGAAAGTTAATATAATAAAAAAACACATATCGATATGAATATTATATTATCTCATACTTGCCACTAAATATGCCGTCTCTTTTTCCCTCTTAAGAATTTTCTCAACAATTTAAATTTTATGATAAGATCATTGAAGTTCAAAGTTCAAGTTCATCAAGATTATCAACGAGTTTATGTAATGCAAATATGGATAAGAAGGAATGGAAAGGCAACAAAGACAGCCGCCTATCTTTTGAACGCGTATCGATACCCTATTCCCTGTCCAGTCAATAAAGCCTCACCGATTTCCGGATCGGGTCACACGGATATTTGGTCGATCTCCTCGCGTATATACCCCTGAAATGGGAAAAGACACGGGGCGCTTCCGTGGCGCGACAATAAGGGGAAAAGTCCCGTACGCGTCGCGCTCGGTGATTTCGGGGATCCTCGACGCGAATCCACATTCCCCGCATCGACGATTTGCTCGAAGGACTTACGTGCCCATGGTGTGCGGTGCTCATAGGTATGCACACTACGGGGTGGCATATCGGTGCGGCGCGCACGGTTTTCACCCCCGTGAAACCCTGCCTTCCGCGACACGACCCTGTTGTGGTCGGCGCAGCTGTCCTGTGTCCAGATGTCCGGTTTTCGGGTACGGGACGGACTGTTCTCTCACTGTGAGAAAACCAATCCGAGGTTGGGCCCCTTCTCCTTCCATTTCGTTGCCGTTTTCCTTCGTCCGTGACTGCTCCCTCCGTTTCCTTGACCGGATCCCCGGAGGCACATTAATTACCCCGCGAACGGACGTTCCTTCGGTATTATCCGAAATTTAATACGCAGCTATACGCCCCGCCGCGCGCGCGTTTGCATGCGTGCACACGTATGTGTGTGTGTGTGTGTGTGTGTGTGTGTGTGTGTGTGT